TCAGGGTTTCTCAAACTTCATTGCCCTGTGACCCACTTCTAACAACAAAAAATACTATACGACCCCAGGAGCAGGGATTGAAGCCTGAGCCTGCCTAAGTCCCACCACCCCAGGCAGGGGGGCTGAAGCCAAAGCCCAAGGTCCTGTAACCTGAGCCCTGCCACCCAGGGCTGGTGCCCTCTGGCTTCGGCTTCAGCCGCAGCAGTAGGGCTTGCTCTTCGGCCCCAGCAAGTCTAACGGCAGGCCTGGTGACCCCATAAAACGGGGTCACAACACAATTTGGGGTCCCAACCCACAGTTTGAAAACTGCTTGACTAGGTGATCACAGTGGGCATTTCTGGCCGTGGAAACATTTAAATCTGTTTTTCTATCTTGCTTCTATTTAATGCAGGGGAAGAGGCACCTGATACTGTTTTTCACATTCTGTCTTCTGGAGGCAGAGGAGAAAAATAACAGAAATTTGTTCCACCAACCTGGCAAAGTGTAAGGATGGAGCTCAAAGGCAGCCTTGGGGACAGATGGATGACCAGTGGCGTATTAACGCCTAGGCCGACAAATTTGCAGGGGCAGCAAATTTATAATAGCAGCCTGAGGCGGCTGCTTCCCCTGGTGCCAGTTAAAGCCCCCTGGCCCCGCCCCAACCCCACCCCATCCCCGCCCTGGCCCCGCCTCCTCTCCTGGGTGCGCCATGTTACCCCCTCTTCCCCACTCCTTCACGAAGCTGTTTCGCGCACAAGCACTGGCAGGGAGCGGGGAGAAGCAGGATCCAGCGGCGCGCTCAGGGGAGGAGGTGGAGCGGAGGTGAGCTGGTGCGGGGAAGGGGGCGGCAATTATTTCGGGGCCTAGGGGGTGGCAAAATCTCTAATCCGCCACTGTGGATGACGAGATATGTGCTCAAATACTATGGTGATACGAGCCATATAAATACAAAGAAGATTCAAGTACATTGTACATATTGCTGGTGGGCAAACATAATGTGTTCAGATGATAGGACCCAAAAGCTGAGCTTTTCTTTTTGTTTAAACTTCAGCAGATGGCATGGTATCTGGAAATTTAACAAAGGTTATCTACCTTCCAGCTATGTTCAAAATACCATCACAAGAATATCTGTTCTGGTATTTTAGTAGCATGTCAAAGAGAAGTGTGATTAGAGCTGTACGGAGAATACAAGTTCTGTTTTGTGAAGGATTTTGACAGTTTTAACTTTTGGTTTTGAACTGTCCTGGTATAGTTAAAGTGGTAAAAGCCCCAAGTGTGGACACAGCTATAACACCATAAAAATGCCTTATATCAGAAAAGTGTTTTCTTATATGTGAAGGGGAATAAGCTGTATTGGTATAGCATCTACACCAGGGGTTGTACCAGTGTAACTATTTTGTTTGTTTTTTAAAACAATCACACCTGAGCAGACAGTTATACTAGTACAATAACTGTGTGTGGGCTAGGCCTGAGTCACTCAGTTAAATTACCTATTCTGTAAAGAAGCTTCCAAATCTTTGGGCAGTGTGAAAATAATAAACAATTCTGCAGAGAATAGTAATAGTTTTAATCTCAAGCCCAAGGGAAGGACTCTCTAACTTCCCAAGGAGTTTGGAAAAGGCCCTATATGATTGCTCTTAACACATAAACAACTCAGTTTTTGAATTTCTCTTTTTTTGGACAGTAAAAAGAGAATAAACCATTTGACTTTGTTTTAAGTTACCACTGAATGGATCTTGTACATTACCAGGGTCTAGAAAGCAAATTTTATTCCAATTGTTTTTACTGAAATTGTTATAAAAACATTATCAATTGTTTAATAAAGTACTTTTGTGGCTACATTGACCTGGCTATATATAATTATGTAACAACAAAAATCCTACCACTTATAAAAAGTTCTGCCTTAAAATCTTTGTTCTTCCATTTATACTAGGCTGGAGATCTGTCCTAGAAATTTGTGTTCTTTTTTCTGTACTCTTAATAAAAACGTACGTTCAGTCTGTTTTCCATACAAAATTTATGAACCAGTTAGTTAAATATTTAATGCTTCTAAGTATATGGCGTAGTATGTGATGAGTAGGAACTTCACTAAAACCATGTCCAACCACTGTAATGGGTTCAAATCCCAGATGTTCCAAGCTGGCTCTGTACTTACGCAGTAAATCAGAGAAGTCCCAAGATGCTGTGTTCATGCACACAAGCCTGGCCTGCTGCATTCACTGACAAGATTAATTACAGACCTCTGAACCTGATGTGTTTTCTTAATATCCAACATCACTTTCATTTTCCTTATTGAAGCTGAAATATGAGGCTTGCTCTTGCATAATTCAACAAAGCTCTTTCAGGGTGGAACTGTTTTTTTTAAGTAGTTTTAAATGCTAGCGAATTACCAAAGTGAGCGTTAAGAAGTTTGTTTAGAGTCCTTTCTAATGTTGGTGCAAACAAAGAAAGAAAATAAGATTATTTCCAAAATGTCAGAACATTGGAAAAGTAGGAACACCAGTCGCACTCATTCCCACACATGCAGACCAATGGATCTAGCTTTCATTCTACACGCACTCCCTACATCCAGTTGTAAGCGGCATGGCAGTTAGAGCCATCTGATACTTTGTCTTGCTATTCAAGGAGCTGTACAAAAATTAATATTTGAGTTGCAAGCTGCTGTTTCAAAATTTGGCCAGTTTTGTTTAAAACCCCTCTGTTTCCTCAAGCTCTTTATGGCCCTCTGTTATAATAATAATGAATACTCTCTGCTTTCTGTGGCACCTGAAAGTGCTTTGCACACACCAATATGCTACCCTGGGAGAACTAGTAAGGATGAAGAAAATGTGGTGGAGTACCTCCAGAAAAGCCATATTGGATTTTACTTGGGGCTCTGAGCTAGGGTGCCTGGAGTTCTTTTAATAGTTTTTTAGCCAACATTGGACCAGATTCTGCTCTGACCCTGAAGTGAATCAGGAGTGACTCCACTGAAGTCTGTGTAGATGCACTTGTGTAAAACTCATTTAAGTGCTTAGGGCACAATCTAACAGACACTGAAGTCAGAAGGAGTCTCATTTGACTTCAATGGGCTTTGAATCAAATCCTAAATGATTTGGTCAAGGCCTTGAAGTCAGTATTACAAATAGGATTTAACCCCCTGGCTCCAAATTCTGTCCTATGCTTTAGCACACAACCATCTTTTCCCTCTTAATCCTACAATTTAATTTACACATGCATGTATATTTATGGTGTGCATGAAACACAACATATACTCTGTTACGTAAATGGTGTATGCACCCTATGCCCTAGTGTTTGCTCATAAATTGCAGAACTATGTGCCCCTTAAAATAGGCACCATTTTAAAACAGAGAAAACCCAGCAAAATACTGCAGTGATGAGACCCATAAAAGTATCTGGACAGAGGCTGAGGCATGCAAAGCTGTCAAAAGGATTTAGAGACACATCTTTTGTTACTTTTAATAAAATAGCAGAAACAAAATCCTCTGAACTGTTCTGAAAGTCTCAGGGCTGGTCTACACTACCACTTACGTGATGTAGCTTATGTCGCTCAGGGATGTGAAAATGAAAACAACACCCCCCTGAGCAACATAAGTTACAATAGCTTCCGCCTCTCATGGAGGTGGAGTAATTATGAGAGCAATCTCCCATCAGCATAGCGCGGCTTCACCAGACGAACTACAGAGGCACAGCTGCACCGATGTAGTGTGGAAGTGTAGACTTGTCCTCTCAAAGATTCTTCCCTCATCCTCACAAAAGTAGAATTTTATCCACAGCTTAATTATACTGGGTTGAAGTGTAAGGGCATGTCTTTGCTGTCCCGCAGTTTGGACTCAGGGCACATGAAGAACAATGCACGCTACAGAGCTAAGTTGTAACTCCCTAGTGTGGGTGTGGCAGGTGTGAATTTAAAGATCCCAAGTTCACACTAATCTCAGGACCCTTAGATTCAGACCCATAGCATCCACACAAGGGAGGTGCAGCACGTTCAAATTGGTGTGAACTGCTATTTGCACCCCATGAGTCAAAACTATGGGACAGTGTAGACATGGTCTGTCAGGTGGTGATGAGTTCTGCACCAGTTAAATTGTTAAGATTCAATATCATGGAATTCTTGATGCTAGAAAGGGTGACTGTGTGTGTGTATATATATACACACACACTATTAGCAAAAGGAAAATCCTAGCTTTCCAATAGCTAACTTGGCTCTTATTGCTTCTTAATCAATCTGATGCCAGGACATCAGACCGTAACACTGTAAAACTGTGTATCAAAAATGTATTTCAGATCATTAGAGTCTTTTAAAATTACAACTGAATGAATTGGTTTGTTTTTGTTTGCTAGCCAAACTGAAAAAGGGGGAATAGAATTTGTTTTGGATCGATCCGAAACCAGAAACTTTCAGTGAAAAACAAACACACACACACACCAGCAAGTTGAACAAACCATTTATGTTTAGAGTTATGAATTGTTTTAACTATGGCCAAAAAAAAAGTAAAATTAGAAACAAAGCTGTTTTGACTTTGAAAATTAAAATGTTTCATTCCAAAAATGTCAATGAAATGCTTCAATTTTGGGGGAGGAGGTTTAGGGAATCTTGTGTTTTGATCAAAACAATTTTGAATTGAACATGAATTCCCAAAATATGTCACTCAACACAAATGTGCATTGTTTGGCCAAAAAAACACAAAAAGCCAACTTTTTTTGCCCTCTATTTACAATGCATTATTTCCTTTCCCTTTTTAGCTCTTGAAAGTTGAATTTTATGGTAACTATTGTCTAGTAGTGATATTCAGCTTTGAATATTTTTTAGACCAGCTAAAACGTGAATTATCTGACAATTTCTTAGACAATTAGATAATACATAACTATCAATGTGATAGGTGCATTATAACCATCTAGGTAGGATGGATAGATACCTGAGTTGAATAGTAACTTCTGAATGCGAGTCTGGCCATCTCAGGCTATTAACTAAAAATGGTGGAATCCTTTTCAATATGGCTCATAATTTTTCATTACAGGACACTACAGTCTTCCAGACAGGATTAATCTGTTAACGATTCTGATGTGAAGGTGTCATTGATGCATTAAGGACAGTGGTGATACAAGTAGGTTCTTATTTTCTTTTAAAATCTTTCTTACTGAAATTTAACTAAGCAATATAGAAATACTTGGAGTGGGACCACAAATCAATTTTAAGATTCAAGAAGCTGGGTACAGCAAGTCCATTGAAGGGGTGGTCATTTGAATTACCTGTTATGCAGAATAATTTATTTCCTCCAGATATGTATTTGATTTCTTTGTATTTTTTAAAATGTGTTATTACAATTGCTGCTTGGTAATTTTTACCATATATGTGTTTTTTTAAACAACTGTTCTTTAAATAACCTCACTGCATCACATCAGAGGTCAGTTCCTCTTTTGTTCTTATTGTTGATATGAACTTAAAGTCTACAGCATCTTTTTGCTATTCACTTGAGAATTTTGTACAGAAATGCGGTATGTTGTTACAAAGGATTTTCAGAAACATCCCAATGAAGCTGTAATCATGTCTAGCCGCAAAGCTTCTAGTGAGCATGACTGGTGATTTTAATGTATGGAGAAGAGTCAGCATTGAATTGTTGGGGTTTTGGGGTTTTTTTAAGTATTTTATATGTCTAAGATGCAACTGGGGTCTGAAAATAAACTTAATCATTCTCTCTATTCCTAGTCGAATGATGATCTTCACTTGAATATACACTGTAAAGGAAATGCAGGCAAAGAAGAGGTGGTTGTTTTTTGTTTCCCAGAAAAGTAACAAATCTAAAACTAAAGGGATAAATTTTAGTTGAGGACCATGGGTGAAAATTTCAAATCTGTGCATGGGTTTTCAGCTTCAAGTCTCATCAGTAGATCTGGTCAAAACAAAACAGGAAGATTTCACAATTTTTTTCAGCATCAATTATGTGTATTTGTTTATTTGGATAATTCAAACTAAAACTTCTCAAAGTAATTATTTTTTAATTGGCCATAAGCCACTGCAGTCTTGGTGTAAGTAGACACAGTTCTTAACAGTCAATAATGGTTGTCTCCCTTCACTTCAGGGTTGAACAGCTAATTTGACTGTAGCAGTTATTTTCAGTTCTGGGTGTTGCCAGATAGTTCTCCCCACAACCATGTTGCTTTTTCTGTTGATCCTGTAATTCTCTGCTTACATCCCCCGTGGTTTGTTTTTATTGTGTTTTCCCTCAGAGTTTATTGTGATTTCACTGTAGGATTAAGATGGCCTACAGGAGCAAGAACACATTATTTGTGAAATTTCTGTGTCTGGGAGGGAACTTTAAAGATTTAACATCTTACTTGAATAATGCAAAGGGAAGTTATTGCCTACGTTGGTTGTTATTTCTGTAACAGACTGTGAAAGTTTCTAACTAAATTGTGCTGTGTGGTAATGTGACCTGCCTTCTTGATTTCTAGTTTGAATGGGTAATAAACAAAAAAACCCCACACTGATTAATTTGGGCTCTTTCTTTAGAAAAGTCAGCCTTTCAATAGAATGCTTGATGGTTTAGTAAAAGTCTTGGCTTACGTTAACTAACCGAATGGCTGGTAATACAAACTACAGAGCACAGTTTTCAGAGTGGTAGCTGTTAGTCCGTATCGGGGCATAGTGAGGATCAGATGAATACTTTCCCTTGCTGGAAGAGTGTGAAGTTCAGCTACCTCTTCAGAGTTAAAATATTCTGGCTTTGTGTGGGTGTTGTAGTGGCCAAGCAAGATACTAATAGACTTCAACAGGACTTTAAAAAATAAAGTGGAAACCTCTTTTCCAAGCTGCTGCTGCACCCTCAGTAGCTCTCCCTCAGCCTCTTCAACTCCTCCCTCCTCCTTCCTGTTTCCTGACCTTTCAGACTCCCAACAGCCAGTGCTCCCAATTCTAATAATTACAAGCAACATCTAAACACTACAGTGGGGAAAGTGAATGGCAGATAAGATTTGCTTCTCCTGACCTGGGCAGATACCATTACCGCTGCTATTCTAGCCCATGGACTGGAATAGCAGCCACAGCTTTCCCATCCTTTAACCCCCACTCCACATTAGTGCAAATACACTAGTGCTTGCTCTAATGGCCCCTTCCATGTCTCTCTGTGGGAAGTTTGAAAGAACCTCTGTGCACACTGGCTCTGCATATGCCTGTCCATGCCATAGAAGGGCACTACAGGATTGGATAACATCCTTACTGAGGGATAGTGAGTCTGACCCTAGCATAAGTGTAGTGGATTTGCAATTGCCAGAGTCCTGATTTCCACTAGGAGGGACTACTCCCTCCCTGTGCAAATCATCCCAAACAAGGTGGGAAGTAGCTGGGGCCATGATTCCTCCCCACCTGCTTTCCAGGATGGTTGGGTGTGGCAGCGTGAACAGGCTCTGTGCATGCCAGGTAGCAAGGGGAAGGACTGTGCCCCTAGACAGCATGGCTCCCTAACATCCCAACATTGGTTAGTGTACAGTCTAACACAGCCTGTGTAATATCGCATTTAGTAAAGAACTCTTTCCTTGCAAGGAAAGTCTATTCTTCAGTAGGGAAAAGGGTGTGTATTTTACATAAGGCTGGTGCAGTTTTAACAGGTTATCTGGTTGAGATGAACCTCCCTCCTAGGGTTTACCTTGATCAGCTAAAGAATGTGAAAACAACTGCCGTGTCTATACCAGGATTTTAACATGGGTTAATGTGTAAACCAACACGTTAACCCACTCCTCTCCCCTAGTCTAGACGTGCCCCATCTCAGTGATGATATAGGAATATCAGTTACTAGTAAGCACTAAAAGCAGCAGAGTCCTGTGGCACCTTATAGACTAATAGGCGTATTGGAGCATAAGCTTTCATGGGTGAATACCCACTTGGTTAGAGGCATGCCTCTAATCAACTTTAAAAATCAACTAACCACTAATCCACTTTAAAAATGTGAATGGCAAATAAGTTATGGAACAGTAAACGCTTCCTTTAACTTTATGGTTCTGCTGTTAAGTCAGAAGGAGTGAGAACAAGGCTAAAACCTTGTTTAAATCATTACAAATTTACCCCTGCTGTGAAAAGTGGTCCGAGAAGAATCTTTATAAGCGGAGGTGCAGTGTTTGTGACCATAGCATCTGGAATCTATTCTCTTAGGCGTTCAGAGGGGCAGTGCCAATCAGATCATGCTATTCTAAGGTACAATTGTATCAGCACAGCATTGCTAACACTAGCGGTATTTTTATTTCATGATGCATATGTGCTCATGTCACTTACCAAACCTTCTGAGCTTCAGCCTGTGTCCGGGGTATGCAGCAGTGATGCTGCTTTCTTATGGCACACCTGGGGTTCTCAGGAATTTACCGTTTTCCTTTATTTATGGGGCGGGGGTGGATTCTATCCAGAGACCTTGGGAGATGAATTCATATGTCTGTGGTAACCAAAAATCTATTTTACAGGTGCTGAAGTGTGTCTGCATTACTCTGTCCTTCTCAGGCAGAAACCTGCAAGGTTTCTCAATGTAAATTACCCTGCAACAGATAAGCACATGCAGCATAAATAACTCGCTGTTACAAACTTTGCATTGTAAATCTCAGGTGTATGGAGCAGTGAATGACAGAAGTAGGTAACTGCTGTATGTATCAGACCTTCTAACACTTCAGTGTCCTTTTTGGAAGGAATTAATCAATTTTTACATATAAAGGGTCGTTCAGCAAAATGCTTTAATGTAGTATTTTAAGGGGCTGATTCAGGAAATGCTCCCAAGTTTAGCATATCTCCTCACAGCAATTAGTTCTCTGTAATACAGGTTGGCAGTATTTGCCCTACACTTGTGCAGTATGTTAGGTCCCAGTCCTGCAAAGGTTTGCTAGTAGATGGAACCAACATGGAACTCTATTGATTTCAGCTGGGCTGTGTGTGGGCACAGGGGTCCATCTGGGCATCTTGCATAGCAGGACCAGGGTCTTACAATGTGTTCTGGAATGGTGAGTGTAGGGCCCTTATGGATCTCTGAGATGTATGAGTCATGAGCTTGTTGTTGAGTACCATTATTGTCTTTGGCTTTTTCAAGCCTATAACATTGTTGCCTCCAGTTAACTTTCTTTCAGTTTTTACTAGCTTCTCTCTCCTGCACTCTTACAAAAGAATCCAGAGTTCAGCTCTGGATTTCTTTCCATATTTTGGCAATGCATTAAAAGGATACAAGTATCTTCCATTTTTTTTCTTCATGTCAAGGTGATAAGCCCCATGATCCAAAGAGTCCTGCAATCATTGGAGTCAGTTTCAGATTTCTGCTTCATTTTAAGCATTGTTCCCTCCTTTTGTGAAGAAATCCTGACAGTTTGCTGTCTTCTAGAGTAGACAGGGGTAGGGATGGTATAACATTCTCAGTGGACCCAGGTGGTTGTTGGCATGCTGATCAATCTGAAAGCCACTGGTATTGCCCTCATAAGGTGACTATTGTACTTTTTGCACTGACCTGACATTTTCTGTGTATGCCCCAGTTCGAGTGATTGTTCATTTCCATTCCAAGCAGGTGTGTGCACATGCCACGTGCATGCCAGCCGGAACATTTTTCCCCCTAGCAGCATCCATAGGGTTGGCCTGGGCGCCCCCTGGAGTGGCACCTTCATGGCACCCAATATCAGGCCCTGCCGACCCCCCCCCCCCGCACCCTCTGTTCCTTTTTACCACCTGTGACTGCTAGCTGAAACTTTGCTTGCTCTTATAGCAAGCACCTTAGCGGTGTCTTTGTTCTTTCTGTACATAGTTCAGTAGTTATTCTCTGTAGTTAGTTTTCCCCTTTGGGGGTATGCCTGGGCCTCCGGGGTTTAAACTCCAAGTCCTGTGGAAAGTTTATGCCCAAGAGTGATCCTCACTCGTCTTGCCTGCGGTGCCTTGGTGAGACTCACCAAAAAGACAAGTGCTGCATTTGCAAGGGTTTCCACAAATGCGGACAGAGAGCAGAGACTAAAACCGCTCATGGAATCATAGAATCATAGAATATCAGGGTTGGAAGGGACCCCAGAAGGTCATCTAGTCCAACCCCCTGCTCAAAGCAGGACCAATTCCCAGTTAAATCATCCCAGCCAGGGCTTTGTCAAGCCTGACCTT